AGAAGAACCCGTCCAGAGGACCTATACAATTTTTTTTCTTTTTGATTTTTTTACCTGGATTACTGAGATGCATCAGGACATTAATAATTGAATTATTTCAAGTGTTTTTCTTTAGTAAATATGCATCATTTTTACCTAATTTAGATGTTTGTGAAACAACCAAACTTATATTAATGCTGATGATTTTTTCTTTGACTCACTTCTTTTTTTAATTTCCTGAATAATTTGCTGTGAARGGTGCTGTAAGTGGAAGCCATTAGAGAATTGGTTGTGTAGAGGAGTAATTGTTGGATTAGCTGAGCCGGATCTGAGTCGTTCCTTTCATGGAGAGAGGAGCTTAGTGTCTAAAAACAGGACGAGTGGATTGAGAGTTTGAAACTTTTGTCAGCTTGTGTCACATTAGGACATGACAGTGTCTCGCCTCTGTTCACATTCAAGCCAGATCATAATAATCCAAACCTGAAGCTTCTTTTTAAAGCATTTATAAATGAATATTTTCCTGTTGGTGACAAACCATTTAACTGATTAAACCAAGCTTACACTRAATCAAAATGTGTTTCAGGATGATAGCGATGGTTTCTAGTCTTCTGCGGTGATAAAAGCAGAATATTTGACATTTTAATGTCATCTTGAGAAATTAAGTTGCAGTTTTTCTTAACCGTGACTTCAATATCTCTGAAAAATAAAAAAATATTTTGCAAGTCACACTAAAAATATGTCCTACTGTTCAAGTGTTGTTACCACTGACAGATGCGACAGCACAAACTGTTAAGAAATGAAACAACAGCAGTCACATCATCTTTCATTCTTAAATTAATCAAACTAAACCTTAAATTAATAATAAAATGTTACTGATTTGAATTCAATAACTTAAAAAAACAAATGATGCTTTGAGCTGAAATGGAACATAATTTGAGTTGTTTGGACACAAAAAGCAAAGCGTTTTAAGGAATAGAAAAGAGGAGAAACTAAATGATTGCTCACATATTTTTACATCCTCCTGTCATTGTAAAACTGCTGAGATTTGGAGATCAAATATTAGATAGGATGACTTTTAGAAAACAAACAAAAAGAAATGTAACATTTTGTTTCAGCGTATCTCTGCTGCAGTAAAAGAACAATACCATGGCAGTCATATCCCTGACAGGCGTGTGCACGCTCCTGACCACAGCTGTGCAGCTGGACTGGATTGTGTTTGTTTGGGTCAGAGTTTAAGAAACATTGCGTACTTCCCATCAGATTATAACACCATGGAGCCCATCCAGTTCTATAGTGTCAAATTGACATTGTAGGTCAGGAAGGTTGTAAGAGAGAGGAGGAGAGATGAAGTCAACAAAGAGAGAAAGAAAATGTGAGGATGGAGAGATGGACGTGGTATGAAGGGGTGGGAAGTAACAGATGGACTTGGGAGGATTAGAGGGAAATCTGGGTGAGTTTCTGATGGAAACCCGGAGGAAGGAGTAATGAGAGAACTGAGAGGAAAAGTGAGGAAAACCGAACCTATGATTGATGGAAGCTGAAGGAAACAGTGGAGCACTGCCAGAGTCACTGCATTGGTGAGTATTTTATTTATTTATTTATGTTATTAATTGGTTTTATTTCTCATTTTGATGCTCAAGTGTCATTTGATGAAAAGTTGAGTGCTTCCAGCTGCAGCTGGATTTTCTAATCCCACCCATGCGGGGAAAAGATTTCAGGTCATCATGATGAGATGGATATCTTACAGACAGAGCAACCAAAACAAATTTACATTGAAATTTTATTTAAATATTAGGACACTTTTAAGTGATGAATATACTTTTCCTTCTGGTACAAACTAAAATTACCCCTAAAATTTGACAGAATGTGAACATTTAGACCCTACTTGGATTATTGTTTCTTCAATAACAAATAACCGAATGAGTTAAGATTGTGCGAAAGTCTTGATGCTAAAAGTTGTGCAGGGCAAGTACCTTTACTCTTTTGAAGCAGAAATAAATAATATTTCTCCTCAGTCAGCTAAAATTTAAAGTTAGTGTTACTCAAATCAAGTTTTTAAAAAAAGTAAATAAAAATTTTAAAATTTTAAATTTTAAATCACTTCTTAAAATTCATTTTTATTTTTTGGCTTTTAATTGAAGTAGTGTTTGATACTCTGTTTTTATTCTTGTTGTTCTCTCTGTACAGCACTTTGGTGCAGTTTTATACTTGCTTTTAATGTGCTATTTAAATAAATTTGACATGACATAAAATTGTAATTTTTTACGATACAGATTTTAAGTTTTATAATTTCTTTGCCATTTGTCTTTCCTGTTCAGTTATAATTCTATGAACTCTTTTGTCTTTTAAGCCACGTCCATACTGAAATGCTTTTTTTTTTCAAAACAATTGTTTCTACAAATATCCTAATAAATATGACACCRTTTTCAGAAATGTCTTCAACTAAGAGGAAACATACAAATACAAYGCAAAACCCTGTAGAACCACAGCGATGAAGCTGGATCTCCTGTGTTAAACCTGATTAGAATAGGTTCTGTCCTCCAGCACCACCTGTACTAGGACAACTAGGACACATGTAATGAATGTTGCTCAGATGCAGTTTTGTCAGTGTCAGGTTTCTAAAATGTAATAAAGGGAAACTTTTTTCACAGTTTAGTAAATATTGGTCTTTAGGTTTGCATTAGCAGGGATCTCTGAGTTGTAAGTCAACATGACACCAGAGGTGAGCAGAAGCTCCAGTTACAACATCCAGAAATAGTCATGAAAGCTGCTTTAAACACCAAACTCCTTTAAGACACCTTCTAACTCAGTCAACCACAGGAGTTTTTTTTTTTTTTTGATGTTGAACGGAGATTTGTTGGGAATGGATTGTACTGATCCCCAGATTCCGTCACATTTTGCAATCTTACAATAATGTAATACCTGTCCTTTAGCAGACTGTGTGTGTGATTTGTGATCTCTATTTTTACATCCGGAGTTAAAAGAGTTAAAGATACAGATGATCTGACAAGAGTGTAAACTTCTGAAGGTTTACTCCTGTTAGTTTGATCTTTGTTGATAAAAAGAGAAATGTCTTAAAGAAGTAAAGAACAAATCTTATTTTTATGAGTTTAAGGTCTTTAAAATTGTCTCAGACAGAGAAGGAATCTTTTGTGTGTCTCAATCTGTTGTTGTTGTTTTTGTTTTCTCTGACAGGTGGTCGTCTGAAGACGGCATGACAGTCACAGGGCATCAATCTCCCTTCCACCTAACTCAAGATTAAAACAGATTTAGCAGGCCCAGAGGCAGTTCCTGGACKTTACGAGCTCGGTCCCTCCCTGGGCGGTGAGGGGACAGGACCAGGAGGAGGGATGTGCTGTGAGGGGGGGAACTGATCACACTGAGCAGAAACGATTAGAAAAACAGATTGATCTGAGGCGACTGTGTGAAACATGGGTTAAACAAGTTGTTGCTGCGTTCTGAACCCCAGAGAAACAAAGCTCCTAAATGTAAATCTGATAACCTACTTTGTTTGTCTTGTAAATCCTAATTTTCTGCGACTGATACCACAGCTGACACTGCGGTGTCCTTAGATGAGGACACAACAGCTGCAACACTCGGCCTGCACATCTGCCTCCTCTTGATTAAATCYCAGCACTTCATCGGTCTTTACTCCACTGTCCCCTGACCTCTGCTCATCAAATATYCTCCTTCCTCAAAACCTGTCCTCCTTTCATCACTTCTCATCGTCCCCTCTGATCTTTTCACTTCTCAAATGTCCCTAATCTTCCCTTCTGGCCTTTTCTTTTCTTTCCCTTCCYATCACACACCGTGACTCAGTTTCAACTTCTCAGGAGACGACTCAGCAGCTTGCCTGACTGATTCTAGATTTCTCTTGGTTTTAGTAAAAGCCTCAGCCCTCTGACTCTCATCCCAACTGGTCACMAAGCTCACTTTCACAGTAACAATCCCACCTGTCAGATTTCATCTCTGGCTTCTGTCAAGTCAAAGCTCAACAATGCTGGAGAAAATGTCCCGACGGAACCGCACCCTGCTGTCCCTGGGTCTCACCTCTCTGGCCCTCACCTTGTCAGTCTCGGCTTTCTGCACCTCCTACTGGTGCGAAGGGACACACAAGGTGGTGAAACCGGTCTGCTTGTCTCCAGTCAAGATGAAAAACTGCGGGAAGAACAACAGCCAGCCATATACGACAGGTGAGGATGACAAATGCTGCCAACACCAGCTCTAAATACTTTCCTACTTCTCCATTCTGTTTGACTTTAAAGGAAAGAGATTTTTTTTCAAGTTTCCAAATTGGTTTTCTTCAACAATTTGATTATTTTTCACTCCTGTTTTTAGTTTTAGTCTTTTACCTACGAAAACAGCCAAAGTGCCTAAAAGTAAAAGTTGATGTCCACAACAAGTCGTTTAGGTTCTACTATAAAAGTGCTTTGTTTACACTGATTGTGGACCCGCATTTCAAATCTGTAAAACAACTGGAGTAAACACTTTCAAAACGCACAGCATTTGATAAAGTTCCAGATAACCTTTATAGGTTCATAATTTGCAACAAGGTCCTTTCAAAATATGGAAGACCGAAACAAATATTTAGAAATAAAAGCAAAAATATATTAATGGACCACTAAATCAATCAATAAATAAATAAATATAATGCACCAATTAAAGTAAAAAAGGAGAACTTTACCTCATGTTTTGTAATTTAATTGATCTTCATATTTATTTTCCAGCTTAGTTC